TGAGGGAAGATACTGAGGGAAGGATGCTGAGGGAAGGATGCTGAGGGAAGGATGATGAGGGAAGATACTGAGGGAAGATACTGAGGGAAGGATGATGAGGGAGGATGCTGAGGGAAGGATGCTGAGGGAAGGATGCTGAGGGAAGGATGCTGAGAGAAGGATGATGAGGGAAGATACTGAGGGAAGGATGCTGAGGGAAGGATGCTGAGGGAAGGATGCTGAGGGAAGATACTGAGGGAAGGATGCTGAGGGAAGATACTGAGGGAAGGATGCTGAGGGAAGATACTGAGGGAAGGATGCTGAGGGAAGGATGCTGAGGGAAGGATGCTGAGGGAAGGATGCTGAGGGAAGGATGCTGAGGGAAGGATGCTGAGGGAAGGATGCTGAGGGAAGGATGCTGAGGGAAGGATGCTGAGAGAAGGATGCTGAGGGAAGGATGATGAGGGAAGGATGCTGAGGGAAGGATGCTGAGGGAAGGATGCTGAGGGAAGGATGCTGAGAGAAGGATGCTGAGGGAGGATACTACTTTGTTTACTGTATGTGCCGCATGGTAATGTCGTTTGCTATATAATCTGTTGTCTATTACATATTCGTATGATGTTACATCTGTAGTTAATTTGCTATTGTATTTTACTATTTGCTAGCATATCTGATGTTACAGAGTAATGTCGCTTGCTTTGATATCTGGTATTTATTTACGCACGATTTTGTTTTAAATTCTAAATGAGGGACACAGTAAACGTCGAAACAAACAGGTTCGAACGTAATCCGACGCAAATTTATAGAACATGCTAATTTCTTCGAAACATTACAAAAAAATTGTATATTGCTTGATAACATCACATATAGCAATCTGATATGCAAGCATGCACTTGCACTTATCGTGATAATGCATTAGAAGTACAAAAGCATATCCATATAGGCATTGTTGTCCAGGTTTAAGAATCGTGGAGATGCAAAATGGCGACCGGTGTAAAATTACTCGATAATACAATACATCAGGAGTAAGGCATTAAAGACATCTTAGTAATTAATCAGTCATGAATAATTAAGCATACCCTTGTTACCGTGCTCACGAAAACAAATCTAATACTTCTAGTTTCCAATTCGAAATTTTTTCCGAAGTCGCGCGAATCAATCATGGCGTAGATTCGACGGAGGAGCGCATGCGCGATGACCTCGTCGCGTGACGTCACTCGGGAGGAGCGGAAAAGATTGATTAGCGGGGGGCGACGGTGGCGCCATCTAGACGGTCGGGTCGAACTCTATGAGCAGCTCTGCGTCGGTGCTGCGCTCGCCGTGCGCGTTCGTCGCGACGATCTTATACGTGCCGTCGAAGTCGCGCGTGCACTCGGGAATCGTGATCGTCACAGTGCCGTCGTCGGCATGCTTGACCTGACACTTGCGGCTGTGCTCGATGCGCTGCTTGTCGTGGTAGACGACGATGTCCGGCCGCGGATCGCCCTTCAGCTTGGCCGTGAAGCGCGTCGCACTGCCCTCGACTATCGTGTTCACGTGCGGCGACAGCTGGCTCTCGTAGTGCGGCGCTGCCATCGCTGTCGTCGTTTGTAGTCGTCGGCGGCTGTGGGCACGCAAACGCACGCGTTAGAATGTCGGTCGGCTGGCGGGAAGATGGGAAGGTCGACCGGTCGGTCGGCCGGTCGGTCGGGAGGTCGGGAGGGAGGTCGGGTGGTCGGTCGGTCGGTAATTCAGATACTTATTCCGATAGGTTAAACTCATGTGCTGTCGTGTCTGAGACACGGTATGAAGTGGCACTAGCAACTGACAGGGTCAAGCACGGATGCTCGCAAACAAGTCTTAGACAGAATTAGCTTTAGAAAAAGTTTCGCAGCTCGTTACATTAGGAAGCCCATGCAAAACATGCGCGTACGCGCCGCTGCACGCGCGCTCATGCGCGCACGATTGAAAATAGAAAGATTAGCGTACGCGCTTGACATGCGTCCGTGTACGTCAGGGGTATACGCCACAGGTGTATATATTGCCTGCCATTCGGCTTGAAAAGTGATACGCCTAAAAACTGATGTGGCGCGTGTGTTCCCGCCGATGTAACAGGCTACAGTGTAGCCTATACGTACAGACACACACACACAGTCTATATACGGCGACCATTCGCGCAGATTTCGGGTGGGGGCGGCGCGGACTGTGTCGGCAATTACTCGACGCGCACATCGGTGCGCATGCGTCAGTCGACACTCATCACGGCGGGTGTTGAGTGACGCTGTGCAGCGCTTCGCAGTATGGCCGCCAGGCGGCGGCAGCGGCGGCAAAATAAACCGCAGAGAGAACGCCAGCAATGTCGCTGATGAGGATGGTGATGATGACAACGGCGATGATGACGTGGTGATGTAATTGACGACGATGATCGATGACAACGGCGATCACCGCGAAGGATGGCGAATTCATGACGACGGCGACGTGACGACGGGCGACGATGACGATAGTGATATGACGACGGTGATGATGACGTAACGGCGATCATTGACGATAGGCAAACCAGGACAATGGTGAATGATGACGGCGGTGATGCATAGCGATGGTAGATTGATAGACACAGCGGCCGGATGATGAACGAGTGATGTATGAAACGGCGATCACTGAGGATGGCGATCATTCGACTGACGGCGAGCGAGTAACGATCGGCGACGAAATGACATGAGCAGCGACGAATGGACGACCAGCTGACGTATGACGACCGCCGACGATAACGACAGTGATTGAGACGACGGCGATGATGAACGACAGTGAGAGAAGGACCGAACGTGATGCACGACGAAACGGTGATGATGACGATTGGCTTCATCGAGAAGCGTAACGGGGCGTGTGTGCGTACGGTCGTCGTGCGGATCCGGCCAGTCTGTCCGGCAGCAATGCGACACGTGCGTTGTCGGCAGGCGGCGGCTGTCTGGCCGGCGCGTCTGCGTCGCAAGCCGGAATCCGGAGATTCGACGACTCGCCGGAGGTCAAGTCGTACATCGCGGCTTTGTGTCGGCAACGAATTTACGAGCGCGATTTTTTTTCACAGCGCAGAGCGCCGCGCGCGTCAGCCTGCGATCCGGGTTGTACGAGCGATCGCTACTGCGATGCCGCGTGCGCAGATGCGGCGCTGTGCGGTTGTCGGGAGATGCCCCGTCCCGCGCTCTTGCTCGCTGCGGGGACTGACTATTATGTGCAAGCTGTGTAGTATATATGTATGTGTCTTGTTGTAAATGACTGTGTGTGGCGTATGCCTGCGTGCCGTGTGCTGGCAGCAGGGTGCGTGCGTGCGCTGCGTGGTCATGCGTGGCAACTGTGTGTGGGGGGCGTGTGTGTGCGCGCGCGTTCACGCGCGCATGAGTGCTTCGTTTCGTGGTGTGAATGCGTGGGGGTGTGTATGTGTTGTGTGTTTGTATCTTTCTGTGTGTGCCGTGTGGGCGTGATGTGCGTCGGCGTCTGATGCTGCTCGTGAATGTCGTACGTGTGGTGCGTGCCGCGTGTGTGGCTGTGCGCAGCTGTGTGCGGTGCCGCGTTGAGCTACGTGCGGTGAGTACGGCGACAGAGAAATCAAGAAACGCATTAGAGATGGGAATGCTATCACAATTAAGTCTAAACAGAACCGAGGCGCGTAATCCATGCTACGGCTCGTTACTCGGACGTCTTCTCAGCAGCTGGGCCCCCTCTTACCTCCTCCTCCATCCTCCTCCTCCTCCTCCTCCTCTCCTCCTCCTCATACCTCCTCCTCCTCCCTCCTCCCCTTCCTCTCTCCTCTCTTCTCCTCCTCCTCTGCCTCCATGCCTCCTCGTCCTCCTCCTGAACTCCTCATCCTCCTCCTCCTCCTATCTCCTCCTCCTCCTCCTCCTCCTCCTCCTCCCATCCTCCTCCTCGTCCTCCTTCTAACTCCGCCGCCTCCTCCTCCTCCTCCTCCTCCCTCCTCCTGCCTCCTCCTCTCCTTTCTCTGGCCTCCTCCTTCTCCTACCTCG